GGCCGAATAACATTACCCAAAATCTCAATCGAGACGGCAATATCAACTTTTGCCTTATTATCTATCATCAGCCAGTCATAGCCAGCCCCACATGTTGTAAAACCGGAACCCGTAGTAAAATGCGTAGGAAGTTCGAGCCTCGGGTCTCAAAACACCTGAGATTTGGTACGGCTTGCTGACGACAGCTTATAAGCCAGAAGTGGCCATTCCAGTATCCCTAGTCTTTGTCAGTAATGTAAATCTGCCTATAATATGCTGGCCATTGAACGGCTGCTGGTTGGGCTCGAGAGCGAGCGTCAAGGCACAGCGGGACGAGTGAATTCCGTACTCATTGGTGAACGCCTATCTTCCAGTGCATATCTTCTCGAACGATACCGGCAAGATAAAGAGCCAGTGGCGCGGTGGTTAGAGTTTTGGACTTCTAACCAACAGGTTCGCGCCTCAGGTGTCATAAGACCTCGGATAAGTTACGACTGGCTGACGACAGCTAAAGAGCCAGAACTGGGCACTCCAGTCTATCTTGGCTTTGTCCGTAATGATATTCTGTACAGAATATACTGTGTAACTGTGGGCAGAGTACGAGGGTGAGCCCCTACGTAACGCGATCGGAACTACCACTATTCGATTCCTTCTCCACAAAAATTGCACACATATTTAATGACGTACGGTAAAACTCATACCATATCCCTCTTTTACACAGGAAACGATGTCCTCTACGTGGGTGTGTCTGGACCAGTTGTACCCTGCGAAGAAGTGAACATCAAGCACCTCGGAAATAACATGTTCCAGGTGTTGTACTCAGTGCGGGATCGAGGTCGCCATTACATCATGATCAAGTGGGGAGACACGCACATTTCCGGAAGCCCCTTCATAGTGGACGCCGTCTAAAGAAGCCCTATCCAAAAGTAAAGCCTTCAATCTCCTCGCAATACCTACCTACCTTACCTTCCATCCCTCCCCTGAGACATCCTCCAAAAGATCACATTCGCTCTCTCTCTTTTCGCACTTCCTGAAAACCTTGTCTTCCCAAAAACATCCCCACAACCCCGATATCTCTCCTCCATCTCGAAAATAGTTGCTTTGGAACTCCTGGAGATCCCTATCCCCTACCTCTCTGCTAAAACGTAACACAAAATCTGGGCTGCATTGATAGAAAGTGTCCATAGGAGAGAGCTCCTGTTTTGGTGAAATTCAGAGCTGCCCCAGCCATTCAGCCACTTAGATCTGGGATTTCCTCTGCGGGCGCTTCTTACCGACACCCGACCAGCTCTACTTGCCATTCTGCCTCTAAATTTGGGAGCTCGCGCTAAGTGCTGCTCCGCTGAGATGACCGATGCAGTTCGCGCCCGATCGATTAGCAATTTCGAGGAAAAACGCAGTTCGCGCATAGTGTTCTTTTTGTTGCTGTTTTACCACAACCCTTTAGCATGCTCAATCGTCGGCGGTGCGTTGCCTCAGCTCGCGCTGCGGTTTTGTTTCTTTTTTTCGCGATCACGCTTGTCTCCCCCCCGTCCCGTCTATCTAGTGCTTTTTAATCCTGTCTTTTACAGTACATCGTCTGCTTTCTGGCTGGAGCCATTGACTTTGAAATATAGATATTTACATGCTTTAACAATTCGTTCACAAATCGGGGCTTCCCGACATGCTCTCAGTGTGAAACTATGTGCTGCAAAGCATAACACAGAGCTTTTTGTGGCCTGCTAGGTTAATAGAGCACATGATTATCGATTTATTCGCAGTTTCGTCCTCACGGCAACCGATTGGTGTGATGGCGATAGCGGTAACTTGTCTGTCAGTACGCGGGGAAGGAAGACAGGGCTACTGGTGACTAAATCAGTCTTCTCGCTTGTCCCGTATACAGTTAAGACGAAGCTCTCACCAGAAAATTACGCCTGAGGAAGTATGCGAACTCAGGGTTCTATATGCTGATCTAAATAACTCGAAGGTGTCCAGTAGTTGCTGGACTAATGCTAAAGCCGGATCTAATAGAAATGGATTTCACAGTTAATTGTTGAGCCTGGGCTTCATTCATGCCCTTATGGTGAATAAGCAGAGAGTGTAAAGTGGTTGAAAGCTTGTGCTCTATTTTCATCTGTCATTTTTAGTCGTCTTTAGATCAGCTAAGATACATTCTTAACACACGGAAGGGCTGTGGCGCTTGATTGGTCGCAGCTCTGGAAGTACCTGTTTATTTGAACCATCGTTGTCGCAAGCATCGACGAACAAAGTGAGGAGGATATCTTAGTCCGTTTCTTCAGAGCAGATGATATAAAGTTATTTGGAAACAACCTTGGTAAAAGTTCAAGTTAGGATCCCAAGCAGCAGACGAAAAACCCATCCTTCTGTATTACGGGACAAGTGGTTAAAAGAGCTAAAATGGTTGGACATATCAGGAGAAAAAATAAATAATCAAAAATTAGAGCGTATAAAAGTATAAAGTTACAGAAATAATGATTTGACTAATCAGAGAACTGAGTGTTCGTGCGCGATAACTAAAATGGCCCAATAGTGCTGAATTGGATACAATCGTTGGCTCTATATCGTGTATATCACCTCTATAAATTTGATATAGGGATTTTATAGAGATAATATGAAAATGACATACAGTTGATATAGTGATAGCTGTTAAATCACAGTCGTCGACTATATCAGCTATTTATCTTCTCTTCATAAGCTGAATATAAGGTCATCTCTATGTAGAGTTGATATGGAGATGATAAAGAGTTGATATAACGTCGACGATTGTATCCAATTGGACTCTTTTGGGCTATTTTAATTGCCACGCGCAAATAATGGGTTATTTAAAGCAGCAGCTGACTGTTTTTATCCCTGTTATAGGCAGTTCGAAGTGGGCCTAGTCAACTAGTCCACCAGAAATAGATAGAGAGTACTGTAGGTTTTAGCTAGGCAGATGCTATAGAGATTATGTCTGATTACTGGGTGGTTGACGCCGTAGAAGCTCATTTCGCTCAAGCCTCACCACTAGTCAGTCGCCGCATGCGGTTGAGCCAGGGCATCCATTCACAGAAGACAGCGCGTTAGCTCTTCCGTTGACCTGCCAAAGAACTCGAGCGGCAGTCAAAGCTTTCCAAGCCCCATGACCAAAATAAAACACTGAGAGGCAAAATGTATTTTTGAAGTAACGATTATTGACATGGTGCTTTTTCTGACGTCAACGCCAGGGAGCCAGATGGCCGAGCAATTATGACGCCCAATTCAACGAAAGTTCAGCATTTGACTGAGGACTAGTTGTTGTCTCGACACCAAAAGGATCCCCAAATTACAAGTCTGGGAAGACTGAATGAATTCGGACAACTTTACTGCTCAAGAAGCTTTACAGTAGTTGATGCAAGTGCGCGTACCGAAGCCAGTCGAGTAGGTGTAAAAGTGTCTATGCGCGCGAGTTTAGCGAAGCCTTGTCCAGGCATCAGCCAATGAGGAAAGGGTGCAGGTGTTGGCGTCAGAGCTCGCGAGGAATCGAGGATTAGCTGCGGGCGAAGGCGCGTTGACAGCGGTGGCGCAGAAGTACAATAGTGCGCAAGAGGATGAGTGAGCGCTGAGCGCGCGGCTAGACAAAGGTTTGGAAGATGAGAAGGGGGCGAATACGCACAGCACTACCGAATTCCGACTGTCACAAGTTCACGGGCCGCACGCCGGCCACCAAGCATTTAGCGCACAAGCAGGCAACTACCCTCGAAGGGGGGCAGGGGGGGGGAGAAGTCAATTGTCATAGGTATGCGGTAGCATAGCGACTATATCCTATGGCTACTGCAACTCCCTCTGTCTATGGATTACATATTTTTGCTGTTGTCTCTGGTGAAGGATCCACGATGGATTTCGATAGATTTCCTATCCCAGCAATCACATATTCTCCTTCTTAGAACCAATAACTCACAAACGCATGCCGCGCATAGTGAGTCGAGTTTTGACAAATATGGGCGTCTTAGTTTGCCCGGAGTTGTAGTGGACTCTAGCAGCCACTTGGAACCCAAGATCTGACGCATGACGCCTTTGGCCTGCAAGGTCTGCGCCCATCTCAAGGTCGCGCCCTACCACTAGTCTAGACATCAGCTGCGTGATTGGCTACTGCAACAAAGCATGCGCCGGCCATGCGGCTATTCCCGATGCTGTCATCACTCCGGAATTGACGCCCTAGCAGCCGGACTGCGTTCATCCGAGAGTTCAAAACTATTTCCATCTATTCTCCTATCCTTCTGCAGAATACACTATTCCTAACAATTTGGCTTTCCCACCGTCTTCTCTCCTCACCTAATGAACCATTGGTCTGGAGGATCGTAGCTGTTAGAGTTAACCTTCTTAGCCTTAACACCTTTCGATAGAGTCACTGGATGTGACTCTGCAGGACCAAGTTGTTCAGTCGGCTGGAAGTCATTCAAGGCAGAATTTTTAACGCATCGTGATGTTTTCCAATTCTGCCCATTTCTTACAAGGCAGAGGTTGCTGAGTTGATAGTTCTCTGCCCTCTCTGCCTCTATCCGCTCCCATATATTAGTGGAGCGTCCGAGCCTGTCAGACTGCTAGTGTTGTGATTGGACGAACTGGCCGGTGTAGTTTGTAGTCTAAGACTGCGAGTGCATAGTCCGCAGGCGTTGTTGCTGATACTGGCACGAACAACTTTGGAAAATAGTTATTTCCATAACGAAATGTCGGATTATCAACAGAATCATAGATAAAAGCTTCAACAGTCTACACAAATGGTATAGGGAAATTTAAAAATCATTTGTCAGCAACTAAATGCTGCACACTTTAGTTATTTGTCTAGTTGGTTGCGGCAAAACTCTTTTTACATACGCAAATATGTTTATGAAAGATCTTATTAGTCAGAAAATTTGAGCAAAAGTCGGTGTTACCTTGTATTCTGGTGGGTATCACTGCTAATAATTATTCTAGACTGCGTTTCCCTAACCCTGTGCGCATTTTTTTAAGAAGAGGATAATATCAAATCGTATGGTTTACCACACGGAACTTACCGTACTTAAAGAATGTTTTTTGCCACTTAAGACAGGGGCATCAAGATGCCAGGGAGTAGGTTATCTTTAAAAAAGTAAGATCTTTAATCGATTTTAAGCGTCCAGGTTCTTTATCTGAAATGCCTCAAAATGACCTTACTGTGTATTCATAATCCTTTGTTTAGACTTTTCCACCTTTGCTTACTGCTTTGATTTACTCATAGATGTTGTAACACATAGAATTCCCTCAGAACTATGCCTAATGTAAAGGATGTTTCTGGAAAAATTTTGCATGATCTAGTTTCTCCTTACGCCACGGTTTCTAGAAAATACTGGCATTAATACGGCCAACACGTTGGGCATTTATAATCTTAGAATGAAGCCAAATACTGAATAAACATAGCGAGTCGGGCTAAAATGTAAATAGAGGCAAAGATTCGCATCCCAGGTATTTGTCTAGATGAAGTCGTTGCGTTCTCCGGAATCGTAATTTCATTCATCCGAGGTTTCGGGCACTTGCGGGAGTCCATTGTCAAAGATAAACCGTCAACGAAAAGCGAGCAACGGTTATAGGGGGCAGGAACCAATCCGAAATGTCAGGCAAATAAAACTCCGGTGATCACTTCTTCTTCTTCTGAACTGCTACCTGGAACTCGCATATTCTTTACCATAGACAGCAACCGTTTTTGCTACTTTTCCTACTCATGTCTCTG